TCGAAACTTTATTAGCTCAAACACTATTTTATCAATTTTGGGAGTTCTATTCCAATTGTTTAACCAATTGCCACCGAGTCAATTCCAACTCATGGCGATCCCACTTGTGTAGAGTAGAACTGTACTCCATAGGGTTTTCAAGGCTTCAAGCTTTCAAGATCTACTCTGCCAGGCTAAACCGTTAAGATACTTGAAGGCAGGGATAATGTCTTTGTTATTTTCTATTTCCCAAAAACGTGTAACACCACAATATTGTACTCAGTAAAGGAACACAGTTGTGCTGTAATACGTAATTCAAATGGAGTTAGAAATTTGCTTAGCTTCCCCCATTCTACTCAGCCCCTGCCTAAAGTGGCTTCTCCCTGATCCCCACTCAGCTATGGAGATGGGAAGCATTTGTCCTCTATTGCAAAGTACCAGCAAAAGCCAAAGTACTGCTTAAAGTTTGCTGTCTATCTGGCTCACACTTTTGGGGGGAATTAGAAAAATTAAGTATTTCGGTTTTAAAAGTCACCCTTCCAAATCCTGCATGCTCCTAAAAGTAAGTAAAAGTAAAAAGACCTTAAGAATACATTTAAGTGGGAGTAGGTGAAAAGCAAAGATGTCACTCTGAGGGCGAAGGTGCGCCTGACCCAAGCCATGGTATTTTCAATCGCCTCATATGCATGCGAAAGCTGGACAATGAATAAGGTAGACAGAAGAATTGATGCATTTGAAGTACGGTGTTGGTGAAGAATACTGGATATACTATGGACTTCCAGAAGAACAAACATATCTGTCTTGGAAGAAGTACAGCCAGAATGCTCCTTAAAAGCAAGGACTGGAGAGACTCTGTTTCTCTTCTCCTCAAACCTGGGGAAGTAATATAATAGATAGGATTTTTATCTTCATAATCCCCAGCCACATTAGTCACATACCAAGAGCACCAAAAACAACTTCAGTGAAGCAGCTTTTTATCAGATATCACCAGACCTTTACAAGGGTGGGAGAGGGTGTGTGTGTAATCTTATATATAACTCTAGTGCTCTTGGATTTACTTAAAAGAACAGGGGTAGAAACAACTCTTTCATCCCAAAAATCTATCTCCCTCCCCCATTTTAGTGGTAGCATATTCACTGGCGGAAGGGAGGAAAAGAGAACAGAATCCCTATTATGAAAATATATATATGAAAATCCTAAACCCCTCTTATTTCAACTTATTTTTAAATGGGGTACGGACACAATTCTAGGAATTCAGAACATGCAATAAAGATGTAGTTAAGAAAACCCAATGAGAGGAACAATCAACTCTTCATTCTAATTTCTGAAACAGATTCCACAGTAGTAGCAATCAGTTCCCTTAGATTGATTTAGTTTTCGTCTTTCAAGACTTCCTGGGGCTAAAAAAGATGGTTAAGCACTGTCTCAAACGGTTTATGTGTAATCATAGTAAAAAGAGACAGTTAGGGCCCAAACTGCTATAACACAGTTCTTATCATCCCATTACAAAGCCAGTAAATAATCCTAATACTGTAACAACAACAGTAATAAACATTTGAGTGCTTACTATGAGTTAGGCTGAGTGCTAAGCAATGGCATGCATTATCTTCTTTAATCCTCAACTTAATAATATTCCGATTTTACAGATGAAGAAACTAAAGCAGAGTTTAAAAGGTGATGCAGAAAGAAAAATGGACACAAACACAATGTGTAGGTATAGATAAAAATTATATGTAAAACTTATGGTGTGCATAGTTTTTAACACGATTTTTACAGATGAGCTCTTAAAATTCTATTTTAAATACTGAAGTCACAACAGGAATTCCCAAATTAGCATGCCTTCCCATTTAAATATTTATATTTATTCCCTTGGGAGAGGTAAAATATAAAGAAGAGAATTGAAAGGACAATATTTATGTTGCAGTCCATTTATATTATTTGTCTGCATTTTGATGAAGTAACTACTACTATAAAATATAACTATAACACTATAAACTCCCTAACAAATGTTTCTTGTTTTATAGGCAACTGAACACATTATCTTATAAAAGTTCTAGCAGAAGCATATGTATCTATCCTAATGTTTCTAATTATCATCTTAAGGGAGCACATAAAAGGTTTTTTTGTTCCTGTACTCTTTACAGAGGAACAAGAATAGAATCATAGCTTCAGAACTAATCTTAAAGCTCTCCTACAGATTCCTCCTCCATAAAGAGGATACAGGAGCAGGGAAGGTTAAATGGCTTACTCAAGTTAATACACCACAGGGAGCAGTGAAGACAGGGACCCTGGCTTCCTAGCACCTAGCTGTGTGCCCTTCCCACACTGTCTCTAGAAAGGTGCCATAGGTACTGGGCCGCCTAAAAATTGCCCCTTTAATCTCTCTCAACTTGTATTTAAAAAAAAGAACTCAGAAGAACTTTTCATTCTGTTCAAGATTCTAGGAAACATGAAAGACTCGTTCACCACCAAAGTTTTACTGTGAAAATCTGGATACAGAAGGTGGCAGTATAAATTCCCAATTTCACTTGCCAAGATAACCTGTTATCTCAAATCTATCAATTTCCTTCAGAGAAAAATTCTAAAGATACAGTGAGGGTTTCGGGGCGGGGAGCAGCAGGAACAAGGAGGTGTGACGAGGCCTGTCACTCTGAGATCATCTAAATGAAATAATGATGTCATAGCCATGCTAGCAGCCCTGAAGAGTCACATCTTTAAATCAACAAAAACAAAAAAAATTCTAATTTAACTGTCATAATTAGGTGCTATGTCAAGAAAAAGAATCTGTATTTGATTGTGATTGCTATCTCACTCAACACAAGATTAATCTCACATGAGCCATTAACTCACTAAGGACCCAAAAGAGAAGGAAGCAGAAGCATAGCCAGTGCTAGAGGGTGGGAAGAGCACAGTAGACAGGGGTCCACTAGGGGTCCTAGGAAAGGCAGAGAGGCAGTTTAACTTCCTCACCTGCTATATCCTTTCCCAGACCCATGCTTAGTTAGCAATTCAACTAGGTGCTGAGTCAGGAAAAGAAAGGTTTACAGTCAACATTGAGCCATGGTGGTAGACAGGGAGACTACCCCTTTCCTCTCATACTTAATCTGGGAATTGACGTCTTTGAAATATGGTGTTGGCGAAGAATAGTGAATATACCATGGACTGCCAAAAGAATGAACAAATCTTGGAAGAAGTACAGCCAGAATGTTCCTTAGAAGTGAGGATGGGGAGACTTTGTCTCACATACTTTGGACATGTTATCAGGAAGGACCAGTCCCTGGAGAAGAACATCATGGTTGGTAAAGCAGAGGGTCAGCAAAAAAGAGGAAGACCCTCAATGAGATGGACTGACACAGTGGCTGCAACAATGGGCTCAAACATAACAACGATTTCATTCTGTGTACACACGGTTGCTATGAGTCTGAACTGACTCAACGGCACCTAACAGAAACAATGATTCAGCCACTAACTTTCAACAAGATACATGCTCTGAAAAGTTCACTTTGATGTATGGCCTGTTATTCTCCTTACAAGATTGAAAAATAGGGGCACTAAATTAATTGAAGACATTTAAAAGCATTTGAAAAGAAATCAGTAAAAAACACATTTAAGACTTGTAAACAGTGGTTTCTTCACCTTTATTTCTCAGGACTTCCTCACATCTTAAAAACTGAGGACTCGACAAGAGCTTTTGTTTATATGACTTATAGCTACTGATACATAACATATTAGAAATAAAAAGTATTTACTTACTAACTCATTTAAAAATAACAATAACCCTATTTATATATTACATAAATAACTAACTTTAATGAGAAGTAAGTTAGTGAGAAAAGTGGCATTGTTTTACATTTTCACAAATCTTTTTAACATCAGACAACTGGATTTTCAAATCTACTTTTGCATTCCATCTGTTGCAATTTTGGTTGAAGTATATGGAAAAAATACATCCCCACAAAGATATTTACAGTAAAACCTATTAAAGCTGGAAACTGTGTAAGGTAGAAACCTGTCAGAAAAGGAAAACTCTAATATTTTCCACTAATTGACAGTGATAGAAAAGTGGTCAGACTGCACCCTGTCAAAGGCAGAAAACTTTGGAGACCTGAAAAGACAAGGCAGTTCTGGCTCTCACAGGTTTCACTGTAGCTGGAAAAGGTAGCCTTTTCAGATAATTGTGAAAAGAATCAACTGATACCACATCAAAACTGGACAAGAAGTAATTCCATAAAGTTTAGTTACATTTGGAATCTGAAACCATATCAATGAACTTTTCATACTGTTACATTAAAATTTAATGGTCTATGTTGAATTGGTGTTACATTCTCAACAATAACAAAAGATAAAATAAATTATTTAAAAAAAACTATAATTCAACAACAACAACAAAAGGCTATTGGTCTATCTTGCACTTTGAATGGACCATTTATCCATGCATGATTTTATAATATAGCGGCCATTGGGAAAATACTGGTTATTGAGTTATTCAGATCTTCTAAATATTGGTAAGCTCATTATAAAACATTAAAAATCACATTCATTAATATACTACTGACCTCATCAGAAGTCTTTTAAGTTTGGGGAAGGTGTCAAACTCACAGTGACAAATACAAATTTTTCAAGATGGTAATTTTCACTTGAAAGTTCAAATTTTATCAATGGCAACAGACATTGTTAGTTGTTTTCCTTGAAGTGACAGGCTCACTCGAATCATTTTCAAGAAAATATCTGCCAAAACACCAAAGTCTGAATAATCATAGTTTGCGTGTCAGTTGTTCTTCCAAGTAAAAATGGTGTTCCATGAAAAAAACACAGCTAGTTCAGCTTGCGACTAAAACAAGCGCACAGTGCTTTTCCTTCAGACAACCAGCGTACTCTGCTTTATCTGGGCTTCCCTTTCTATCACAGAATATCAAAATGATGTGTAAATAAGAGTTGGGCTTTAATAAAATTCATAATTTCTATTGCTTTATCACAAGCACATTATTAAGTGAAGCTAGCTTTTTTTTTCTCTTTTCTAGATAGACAGTGAATAAGTGGCAGTGGAAAAAACCATAATTAAGGTAAGTGTGGTGCCACTGTCTTGATTTTGCTAAGGCACCAGCAATTTTAACCACTGTAACTTTTATCATCAGTGCAAACGTTAACACAGTAAAAAGGCAAATAACATCTTAGTATTATTACGAAAATAATTTTGACATCATGGATGCCCTAAAAGGATCTCACAGACTTCCAGGGGTTCGTGGACCATACTTTGAGAACTACTGTTCTAAAATATCTTTACTTCTGGCAAGGATAGGATCCACTGCTCCTGTATAATACAAACCATAATAAATCTAAGCAAAACATAACTCAAAAAATATTCTCTTACCTTTGCCAAGACTAAAGACAAATGGCTCATTTCTATCATGACTGGAATCAAACTTCTTTCCATTTGACAATTTTCCTTTGTAATGGACATAAACTTTGTCTCCAATCATTGGTGTTTCCTCACTAGTTCCCAATCTTTTGACAATCTAGAAGAGACCAACATCAAGAAAAAGGAAGTGGAACTTTTTACTTTTAATCAGAGAATAAAAAAGTTCACACAGTCCATTCAACATTACTCAAGTAGATTTACAAATAAACTATTATCATCTGTCCTTTCCAAAGACTTCTTTCACATTTCTCTCAATAAACTTCACTACTAGAAAATTATCTTTTCTAAACCTAAATCTTTCATGCTATATTTAGCTTTATCACTGATCATACTATTTATTCCCTCAAAAGAATTAATCAATAGATTCTGCTTGATTGGTTTAATACCCATACTTTGACACTAAAATTTCTCAAAACAAAGACTTGAGAGCTAGTCCATTTACAACAGAATTGGTGGGCTTTTTTTTACAGACATTCAAAAAGAAGTCTAACACAAAATTTCAAAGGTGAGATTTTATTTACTTCCCTCCTTTTGCTTTGTAATGGTTTAATTTCAGAAAGCCCAATTTCCTGGCATAACAGGTTACATTTCCCATTATTTGAAGAATATTCAATCTGTAAAAAACTTTAGTATCATTTCACAGTTCGATACAATACTGAATAAGTTGTTTTCTAGTAAAGAAAATGACAAAAAAGCTCCAAGCTAAAAAATATTTAGCTATCATTAAATCCAGTATATTTATTTTGCTCTTGGCAAAGCAAGCTGCTAATGCAGTGGGTCAGTTCTGGGAAAAGAAAATCAAATCCAGGAGCGTGGTGATGTAATTTATTCTGTCAATCATCTATGCCAAATTAAGAATTTTTAGTAGATAACAGAGGATGGTAGCTAATGTCCATGAACATCCTTTTTGGGGGTATGAATTTTTATCTAAAGAATTCAGTTATTTGTTCCTGAGTTCTTTGAGATGTATCCCCTGCCCCACTCCCATATTACCGTATAAACAGGTAAACTTAGATTCTACATGTTTGCTCAAGAGTCCAAACAGTCTTGAAAGGAAAAGAATCGTTACTGTCCTTCTAGGACTTAAAAGGAAAAAAAATGCTTCATAAAAGTAATTTTATCACGCCAAAGTCTAAAAGTAGTCGTTTCTAAGAACTGCATGAGGTATGTGAGAGCCTATGATCAATCAACTGTCAGCATCACATGGAAAGAATCTGCATTTCTAGGATTATAAACAAGGAATTGGGCCTATAGGATGAATGGCTATCAGAGAGTCAGGCACCTGCAAGTGATACTGAGGGATCACTTCAGGGTTTCCCTAGCAAGATGAATTTGTGTCTAAATCTGGAATTATCTTGAGAATACAATACAGTCACAATTCATTTTAAAAGTATACGCTCCAATTTTATCTCCCTGGGCAGTTACTGACTTCCCAGACCTGCCTTGGTCTTTCCTTTTTAAAAAATGTGTAATAGTTAAGAAGAGAGATTATTACAGGCCAGGCACTGTGCCAAGTGCCTTACATATTCTCATAACTCTATGAGATAGATGGTGTTGTTATTCTAGTTTTACAATCGAGGAAACTTAATCACAGAGAGGTTAATTAAATTGCCCTAGGTCACACAGTTAGTTGACCTTTTTAATGTTAATCAAAAACTCTTGGTGAAACCTGAAGCTCTAGACAGTGATAAATGGCATGATTTAAAAGGGCTTCCAATCTCAAAATGTTTCTTACAAGTCTAAAATTCATACTACTAGCTTTATCCCCTAGAACAAAGCAGGGCCTAAGGCAAGTTGGGGAACATGTTCTTAGTATGGGTACTCTGAAAAGATGAAAGAGAAGCACATAAACAGAAGTGGGGAAATGCTGAGGGCAATCTGCAGAATTTCCACCAGCTCTAGAAGCATCCTGGAGACTGGGATGAGCTACTATGTGTCGGAATCGACTTGACAGCACACAACAACAACTCATATAGTTACGAGGTTAAGAAGTCCTCTGAAAGAAGGTATCATGATATAGATTTATAGCAAAAAAGCCTCTATTCTTTAGTTGCAAGTCTCTAAAGTTTGGCTTGGCAACATCGCAAGCTAATAGCAGTACACGTACATTCAGAAGAGATTTGGGCACCAAAAAAAAAAAAAAGGCTTTGACATAAGGAAGATTAGATAAAACAGACTAAAAAATTCTCATTCGCTACTGCTGACAAAAGAAGATATTAACATGCAGCATAGTGGTAATATTTAGAATGTATGTGTAAGATAATCTTTTCAGCAAAAGAAAAAATAACTGTATAAAACTTAGATGTATTAACAGTGTAATTCTATAGCACTGGTCCTTATTAAGACTAAAGTCATTTAACTTCTCTCAGCTCCAGTTTATTCATTTATTCACTTGTAAATGAAAGATTCAAGGGCTGTTCTGACTGCCTCACAATACCTTTACATATACAAATAAGAAAATATATGTGAAAACGATTAACTACAGAGTGCAAAAAATATACATAGTATTTTAATAAGGAAAAAAGAATTCAAAAGCAAGATATATTCTCTGATGAAATTTCAAAAAATATCTTCATTGCACATAGGAACACTATTTTTATGTAAAAATAAATCCTTTTTCAATTTTGCAGGACACCTTTTTTCCCCCTTAAAAAAAAGTCTTTTAAGTGCTATGCATTCTACCTTGGTGGGTAGTGTCTGGGGTCTTAAAGGCCTGTGAGAGGCCATCTGGGATACTCCACTGGTCTCATCCCTTTGGGGGCAGGGGAGAAAGAAGAGAGCAGGATACAGGGAAAGGATTGGTCCGAAGGACTAATTGTCCACAGCTACCAAGGCCTCCACCAGACTGAATCCAGTGCAGCTAGATGGTGCCCGGCTGCCACCACTGACTGCTCTGACCGGGATCACAGCAGAGGGTTCTGGACGGAGCTGGAGAAGGATGTAGAGCATAATTCTGGCTCACAAAAAAAGGACCAGATTTACTGGCCTAATGGAGACTGGAGAAACCTCGAGAGTATGGCCCCCAGACACCCTTTCAGCTCAGTGGTGAAGCTACCTCCGAGGTTCACTGTTCAGCCTGGGAGTGGACAGACCCGTAAAACCAAATTAGACTAACAAGGTACAGGAGTCCAGTGACAAGGGCCAGAAGGCAGAAGGGGACAAGGAAGCTGGTGATAGGGAACACAAGGTTGAGTAAGGATATTGTTGATGTGTTGTGAGATTGTTAACCATTGTCATAGGGCAACATTTGTAGTAACTGTTAAATGAGAAGCTGTTTTGTTCTGTAAGCCTTCATCTTAAGTAAGAACAACGGCACAATTCGAAGAGTGTAGGCAATGTCACTGAACCTTGCAAGTAGAAATTTTTGAAATGGTGTACCTTTGGCTATGTGTATTTTCACCAAAAAAAAAAAGGTTGAGAAGTTAGAGGGTTAATATGTTGTGGGGTTGTTAACCAATGTCATAAAACAACATGTGTACTACTACAGAAACTGTTTGTTCTGTAAGCCTTCACCTGAAGTACAATAAAATATTTAAAAAAAAAAAAAAAAAGTCTTTTAAACTGTCATTAGCTAGCTTTAGTATACTTAAATGTTATATTAAAACAGTAACCCATTTTTATACTCCGAGAATAGCGAGACACAGCCTTTTGTGTCAGATATAACTGGGACCTGAACCCCAGATCTGCATTTACTAAGACATATGATACTGGCAAGGTACTTTACCTACCTGGACCTCCGTTTTCCCACCTATAAACTAGGACTGAAAATAAATCTGAGTTATAAAGATGAAATGAGAAATTATCTGTAGAATTTGACACTTAGTAGGCCTCAGTGAACATTATCCACTAGTCCCCTAGTCCCCCAAAAAATGTTTTTATAAACAATCTTTCCAAGTAGCAGTTTTCCCTATATGTCATTCATCCCTGCAGCCTCACCTTTAATACTCCTCTGTCCTTCTTGGAGGTAATATCCTCTCCTCGTTCAGCAACAGCTGCTGCTGGGCTTTCTCCATTGTTCTTGGCACCTTCATCAGTAGTCATTGTCTTTTATAAGTAGAAAACCTGCTGAAAAGAAACATATTTCAGTAAGGAAAAATATCACTTTCATATGCATCTTAAATGCTCTTGGGAACAGAGCTTGACCCAACCTAAGATTTACTTAGGGCCAATAAGGTTAGACGCTGAAAACGAAAACAAAAACATTTGCTAACAGCATGTATTGATGTCATCAGTCATGTAAATAAAACATCACCCAACTCTTCAATTTCCCATCCAGCTCTCGTCTCCAACTGGAGAACGGTAAAGTCAGGATTGGTAGTGATTATATGCCTGAAGATGATTACACATTGAGGAGCAGTCCTCTTAGCACTTTGAAAATGTCCTTTCCTACAGCTGAATTCTTGACAAAGAATTAAAAGCTTATCAGGTAATCTGATAAAAGAAATGACAATAGATGACAGTAGTAAACAGAACAGGCTTTAGAATCTGACAGACCTGAGTCTGAGACCTAGCTCCAGCAGTATCGGTTTGACCTTTGCAAAGTTACTTAATCCCTTTGAGGGATAGTTTCTCATCTGTAAAATGAACATAGTACATTCCTCACAGAGCTTCTGTGAGGCATTAATGAGATAATATATGTTAAGAGATAAATACAGGGTCATAACTTAAAAATGTAAGCATTTATCATCATTTTTATTGGGTCTTCCACAACGTTTTTCATTTCCCACTTTAACTACCTACAAAATGAGGTTCTTCCCCCACATGGCATTCAAAGCCTTTCATGATCTGACCCTAACCTGTCTTTCAGTTCTAGCTTCCACTATTTTCCCTCATGAAGCTTATGTTCCAACCAAACTAGACCAATTCCTCCCCCATAACAAGCCCTGTGCTTTCCCATCTCCATGCTTTTGGTCACTCTTTTCCTTCTTCCCAAAATGCTCTTCCCCCTCAAATGCTTCCTCCATCATGATACCAACTTTGACCCTATATTTGGATATTGTCTTGCCCTTTTCTGTACTTCCTCAGCACTTCCCTCAATTTGTTGTCTACAATATATTTATAAGTAGACGCATCTTATATCCTATTCCTGCTGGATTTAAAAGGTCCTTGAGAGCAAGGGGCATGTTTTGTTCATACCTAGATTCCTTAGTATGCTTCTACCTTTCAGACTGGTAAAACAGAAAGGTCAAAAAAATTGGAATAAAAGAATGTAGGGGTTCTTCTTCTGCTCCTTACAAGCTGTTTGATGCTGGCTACGTTAACCTCGCTAATCCTTTTTCCTACTTGTGTAACTACGGTAAAAATAAAACGATATCTACTTTTGGGACTAAATGGCACAATGTCTATTTTAAAAGTACACTATGCAAATATTATTTCTTATTGCTATTGTCAGTAACCCAACAGACACTTTTTCAAGAAGGGCAAACCAGTGTTAAATCAATAGCCTAAACAAAACATACCTCATTACCAGCTGCCACGATAATTCTAAACTGCTCTCCTAGTTGAGCATGGAGTCAAGAGTTAATCACTTCTAAAGCTAGTCCA